GCGCCTTCTGCACGGCGACCGAGAGGAGCCCGCCGATGCACTGCGCGAACGCGTCCTGGATGACGGCGTGGTTCTCGATGAAAGAGAAGGTGCCGCCCGTGACCTCCGAGATGTAGTGCATCGCCGCCGCGTCGTGGTCGGTGCCGAACCCGAACGTGTGCACCGGCGCGCACCGATCTCCGGCGGTGCGCCGGAAAGACGGTAGCACAAGCACGTCGTAGCCGGTCTTGTTGAATCTATTAAAGGTTCCGAAGCCGCCATGATGATGCATGCTTTGGTTGTCTTGACCGTCGGTGAGAAGGATGACGCTGGCGACGGCGTTCTTGTGCCGGCGGCCGTCGAGCACCATAGCGGCGACGTCGAGGCCGTCGCGGATGTTGGTGCAGCCGGATGCAGCGAAAGACTCCACCGCGCGCTTGGCCGCGGCCTTCCCGTCCTAGGACATGCGCGTCAGCCGGATGACGCGGTGCGCGTGCGTGGAGAAGGCGACGACGCTGAGGCGATCACCGGAGCCAAGGTTGTCGATGAGGAACGCCATGGCGCGTTTCACCAGCTCCAGCTTGTCGCCCGCCATGCTGGTGCTGACGTCGAGCACCGTGACGAGACCCAGCGGCGCGCGCGCCGCCGCCGCCGACTCCGGCGCGACCACCGCGGGCGCTCGGCAGCATCCCGCGCCAGAGCCATGTCCTCCGCTGCCGCCACGCGGACGAGCTCCCGCTCGATCTCCATGCACCGCGCCATGTCCGTCGGCGTCACCACGAGGGGCCTCTGGACGTGCAGGCGCGTGGCCAGCTCGTCGATGGAGTGGGCTCTTGGCACGTCCACGAAGAGCAGGAAGCGCCCCTCCTCGTCCGCGTAGAGCTCGCCGACGTCCACCGTGACGGCGCGGCCCTCCGCATTGATCCGGCTCTCGTAGCTGCCGGACTTGACCTCCCGGACGCGCACGCCGGGGTGGACGCACTCGAGGGAGATGCGCGCCTTCTGCACGGCGACCGAGAGGAGCCCGCCGATGCACTGCGCGAACGCGTCCTGGATGACGGCGTGGTTCTCGATGAAAGAGAAGGTGCCGCCCGTGACCTCCAAGATGTAGTGCATCGCCGCCGCGTCGTGGTCGGTGCCGAACCCGAACGTGTGCACCGGCGCGCACCGATCTCTGGCGGTGCGCGTGCGTGGAGAAGGCGACGACGCTGAGGCGATCACCGGAGCCGAGGTTGTCGATGAGGAACGCCATGGCGCGCTTCACCAGCTCCAGCTTGTCGCCCGCCATGCTTGTGCTGACGTCGAGCACCGTGACGAGATCCAGCGGCGCGCGCGCCGCCGCCGCCGACTCCGGCGCGGCCACTGCGGGCGCCTTGGCGTGCACGACTACCCCGAACCCGTCGCGCGCCGCGGCCTTGGCGAGCGCCGGGTACTCGCAGTACGTCTTGAGCACCAGCAGCCCGGCGGTGCCAGGAGCTGTGCCGCTCCGGCCTCCGCCGCCGATAGGGGCGTGCGCCTGCGGCGCTCCCACCGGCTCGTCGTCGGCGTACATGGGTTCGATGGCGGCGTCACGCCAGCGCGCGGCGCAGACCGGGCAGACTCTCTGTCTGGGCGCGCAGCGGAGGTGGAACGTGTGGGAGCACTCGGCGGTGAAGATGGCCTGGCCGTGGCCCATGCCGCCGAAGCAGACGGGGCACCGGCTGCCGACCTTGGTCATGCCCATTCCTATCCTCGTGGCCGCCATTCCCATCGTCGTGGCCGCCATGGAGAAGAGCTAGGCGTTCTTAATGGAGAGCAGCGAATCTGAAAGCCCTTCCATTTGATCGTACAGTATATATAAGCTTTCCTTGCATGGGATTACATGCTGAAAATGAGTCAATCAGTTGGAGTAGTTGCCGTGCAGAGGAGGATAGCAATCTTTTCAGCTTGCGCGTAAAGCTAGCAAGGGAACGGAAGAACCTCCGAGGCCGTTGCGCAGTGCAGGGCGTCGATGTTAGGGGATTCTGGGCCAACTCCTTGCGTATTCTCCGGTATTCTGGGCCTGGGCCGGTTTGTACTTTGTACTAGTCACAACGCAGGAGCAAGAAAGTTTACTTGCTCGGACTTGCTCACGTCCGGACGTCTGATCCAGGGTGCTAGTGTCGGACGGTGCCCGCGCGCAAGCGAAGGAGCCCGCGTTGTCTATATTTTTCGCGCGCCCCAGCACGTGGGCCCTCACGCTTGTGCTCGGTTTCTCTACGCCCAGCTCGGCGGTGCACAAGCAGCAGGCCCGTGTCGTCCGGACGTCACCCAGCAGGTCGCTGTGACAGGCGGGTGTCAGTGTAACATGTGTGTGCAAGACCAGATCTAGTTTTGAAACACCCAGATGAAACACTTGCAACATACGTCCAAAACAGTTGAAACACTTGTAGGAAACATCTGAAACACTTTCAAAACACCTAGAAAAGCACTTGAAAGACATTTCAGACATATGCAACATCTAGATAAAACACTTGCAACAGACGTATGAAAACACCTGAAATACTTGAAACATACGCTTGCAACATGCATGTATATCCAAACATCCAGATCTACTATTGCAACATCCAGATGAAAACACTTGCAACATATGTCTGATACAGATAAAACATTCAGAATATACACATGAAACATACGTGTATAACCATTGCGATATGTGAAACATCCCGATCTACTTGTGTAACATCCCGATCTACTTTTGCAACATCGATATAAAACATTTGCAACATACCTCTGAAAATACTTGAAACATATGTTTGTAACATGCTCTTTCAACACAAACATCTCCTCACTTGCAACATACTTTTTTGAAAACACTTAAAACATATGTTTGCAACTTGCTCTTTCGGCGCAAACATCTCCTTGTTGCTTCGGCAAATGGAGGCTCGTCGGCGCGTGGAGGTCACCGGTGTGCTCGCCGGCAGCGCGGAGGTCGCCGGCAACGCAAAGCTGGGCATCGTCATGCCAAGCCTAGGGGCTCTCGCGCTGCCGCCGCCCTGCCCGCCACTCCGAGTCAGGCTATGCTTAGCCGCCACCGCACCGGCCGCTTGCCTTCAGGTGTCCACACCACTGGAGTGCTTGATAAAATGACATTGACGAGAGAAAGAAGAAGATATGGTGGTAAGTCTACCACATTCCTAGCGCAGAGTAGCCATACACATTTGTATAGGCAAACAAACATGATCTCTGTTGAACCGGACTCAAGTCTAGACCAGTGAAACAAACACACGAGGTTGCACCATGGGAGTCATGCTCCAGCAGGCTTATAAGATTTCAGTCTCTATTGGACTTTACTCTCATACTAGTGTTTCCAATGCTTTGTGTGCTGAATTCTTTTATGTGTGTAATATTCAGCCCACAAATGCCACGGTGCATACAACAGCAGCGAGTCTGATAAAAAACAGCGGCATGCAGAATCAGGGCCAAGAAATGCAGCAAAAAGTGTGATAAAAAACAGCGGCTGTCTCCAAGCTTTTCTCACCCCTGTAAGCTTGATTGAATTATATATCATTATTATTTTCTTCCAGGAAATCGATCAGAATCGAAGCAGAAAAGCAAACTCCGGCAGGCAGATATAGAACGAAGCTTCCTGCTACCTTCGCGGCAGCCATGAAGATAACTGTCGTTTGCCAGGTGTTTGGTGGGATAGGCAAAGGTGACGACGAGAAACTGCCCGGGCGCTATGCGTGAAACCTTGCTTGCTCATCCTGAAGTGTGACTGTGTGAGAACGGACTTTGTATCCTTGCAGCAGGAAAAGTAAGATGGATAGCTTCTGTGGTGACTAATGACGACTTGGTTTCTCGCTTGGATTTATGCACCAATGTTTGGCAGTGATCTATCAGTTATTAAAGTAGGACACCGTTTTTTTAAATGTTGCAGATATACACGGCCATTAAGTAGGTAACTGATGAAAATGCTTACAGGCCAAGGAAAATTGAGAATTTGAAACCACCTCTGAGCAGAGTGATTAGAAGTTCACAGAAATGGTTCCACTAAGCCAAAGCACTAAAGCACTTGTATCATTTAGCATATAACTTTTTTTTTCTGTAAAAAAGAGAAATCTTATTCATATATATTTCTGTGAGAGTTTTGCGCGCAACTAAAACATGATTAGGTTGTTTTTAAGAAGTGTTCTCAAAGAGCAAAACCAAACAAAGGTGCAACCATTTAAACACTAAGCGTCTTAAAAGACGACAACCCATGCTCTTTGACGAAGATCTCCAGAGCATGAACTCTAGTGTTCAATAACCTGATAAAATTCACTTTAAAGGGGATATTGCTAATCTTCTTTGTGATCCTCCACTACAAAACCGTGTCCAGTATGTTACCCTGAACATAACATGCAAATAAGAGTGATCTTTTTATTTTCCGTCAAAGCAAGGTCACATAATAATTTCTAGTAAGCCAAGTAGACAAAAAGTTTAGTACACAACTCTGGCAAATAATTAATAGGTAGAGGTGTAAATGTACTCTCGTTTGAAAGGAAGTAGTAATTAAATATATAATTATTATCATCGTCATACCGTGAGGCAGCCAATCATTGCCAATTATCTGTCACTGAGTGAGCATTGGGTGGGCAGGCGATCGAATGAAGAAGGCGATTGTTTTAGTCTTTAATTGATGTAATTATAGTTTTTTTAGAAGTCGTTTTGTGTCAAGTTGTCCATCATTTGTACTAGCTTTTGTTTTCCTTCATATATATCATATTTTTTTTTTGTGAATTACACATACGAGGCACTCTTTGAGTGTCTTTCTCAAAAAAAAAAAAAAACAGTCAAATTAATGTGAAACAGCTAATCTCCGGGAGTCCGGAGACGTTACACATCCTTTCCACTCTGGTTTTTCTTTTTTCATGCATCTCTGACGAATGAAAGAGATTAAAAAGTTTCAGAAATAAAACATGTCTTAAGTTCGCCATCCTTTTACAAATAAAGGCAGAAGAGGATTCATCCAGAATCCAATCACGCCTTCCCCTCTTCCAAAATCCTCCACCCTTCCTGCCATGGATGAGAACCACCACAGCTCTGCTGCACCACCGAACGCCAAGGGTGGATCTGGGCCTTCTGGCTGCCCGGAGAACAAGGAGGTCCCCATGCCAAACCTCAGCTCATCAGCGGAGGTGGCTGCCACCGTCGCCACCAGCAACGACGACGTCTCCAAGGGCAAGAATGTGGCTGCTGACGACGACAAAGAACACAAGCCGCACATCGTCGCAGAGCGGAAGCGCCGGAGCCGGATGAGAGACTACTTCGGCGAGCTGCAGGCCCTCATACCCCAGATCCCTGAAAAGGTAATAAAGCTCTCACAGTAATTAAGCTAGGGCTTGAAACATTTTGTCACTCACTGGTGACTGGTGATAGTACTGCGATCTGATTTGTTTTTGTTTCGACGACGACAGAGTGACAAGGCGACCATAGTGGGACATGCGATCGACTATATCCGTTCCCTAGAAAAGACGAAGGCCATGCTGGAGAAACGCAAGCAGGAGCTGGCGCTCGCGCAGCAAGCGGCCGCTGAGGCCGTGGCCTCCTCCTCGTCGGCACCACCGCCACCACAGACCGCCCAGGGCATGGCGCTGGCGGCCATGTCGTCGGACGCCCCAGATGCCTGCTCCGATGCGCCGCCGCTGCAGTCAACCGTGCTGAAGCCGGCGCCACAGCTGCTCCCGGCGACCATGTCTTCGGACGTCCCGCAGCCGCTGCAGCAGCCACTTGCTGCAGCGGAGCCAGCGCCACCACAGCTCCCCATCATTACCGCGCGGCAAATCGGATTCCAGACGTGGTCATGGCCGAACCTTGTGCTCAGCATATCGAACGACACTGCGAACATCAACGTGTGCGCGCCACGCCACCGTGGCATGTGGACCATGGTGATGGTGCTGTCCGTGCTGAACAAGTACGGGATCGATGTAATCACGGCGCAGGTCGATTCCGACGCCGTCCGCTCCATGTTCAACATCTATGCCCGTGTAAGTAGCCTGCTCTCGACGATGGATCTTCCTCTTTGGTTTCATGGTTGGGTCGTTGCAGTAGCTTATATGAATGGTAGCTAGCTCGATTAGTAGCTTTACCTTCACAAACTCCAATCCAGCAGTCACCTTATTTTTAAACCATGGTTTTATGCATCTACGGGTTCTAAAATTGTAGTTTTTCATACCATAGTTTTATGCATCTACGGGTTCTAAAATTGTAGTTTTTTCATACCATGGTTTTTAGTACTTCAGCAAACATGACCTTAATATGAAGGGGATCTGATCTGATCTGATCAGCACTTGTTGGTATATATGCTAGGTTGATCAAGAACAGGGGCACACATGTATGTTTTTCCAATATTTGAATGTTAAAACAAATCTTCTTACCGTTAAATTAGGGTTAGCCGCCACGAGCGAATCTAGAAGCCTACAAAAGAGAATCCATAGAAAGTGACGACCAACTTGAATGTAGCTAAACTACTCGACATATACGGTTACTCTACTACCATAGTATGTTAGAGCTTTATTTTGTCACACTTTAATGGGAAAAGTGATCCAAATACCGTTAGGAGATTTACTTAAGTCGAGACTGCATAGTTCTAGTAACCGCAGGGAATATTACGTTAGAACTGCATTTTGTCGTGCTTTAGCGGGAAAAGGTGATTCAAACAATGACCATACTAAATCTAGCTAAACTAATAAAAAACTACGGTTACTTGTCCTTATTCGATCTCATTCTTTTAAGCGGAGGGATGTCGGTTGGCAAACGGCTTGCAGAAGTTGGGGCTGCGTGGTTTAGTAACAGTAAGAAAATAGTACGTTATTAGCAGTCAATTAATTGCATTATGCATTTGTTTATAGAAAACATGCTTTTGGAGTTGGCATAACAAACAACTCAAGCCTACCACTAATGTTAGAAATACATATACGACCCAAGTTTCCATATCCTTCACATCCCTTGAGTGCTCCTGTGGATTTGTAACTCTATCGGAATCATTACGTGACTAGCTCTATGATTAAGTTCTTGTTATACAGAAATGCTACTAGTTGGTCCAATTTTTATATCTCTATTAATGGAGTCTAGCTAGTATTTGTCAAGAGGTTTGATTTTTCATTACTGATTTGATTATAATTAGTGTAGCAGTACACAATTTCAATAGTCACTAAGTAGTCAAGGCAACTTGCTATATACTTGAATGATGTGTATACCATCTTGCAGTTTCATATTTTCTACCAAAGATGAGTTTGCATTTTGCACATGATATTTTTCACCCTATCAGTAATAGAACATGAATGCACACAGTGTGGTATGGCTGAACACAAACATGCATGCACCTAGTCACAAACAATAATAATTCCTACTATAGACATTGTGCCATGCTCTGTATATCAGAATTCAGGCACCGATATGTTCTTTAATATATTTGTAGAACCTAACAACAAGCTAAAGTATTACCTAACAAAGTATATATATTCATACTTTGAGGTATCTCATGGCAGCGTACTTGTTTGTGTGAGGTAAAACTTTACGCCTTCTGACTAACATTCACGTCTTTCCACAAAATAGATGACTGCAATAGGTGGAGAGAATTCTTCGGCACTGGAAGTGTACCAGCTGGCTGTGTCGGAGATCCTGGTATGGCTCACCACCAGCTAGGCCAGAGCTGCCTTCAAGGCCTCAAGGGTGTCTCAAAGAGAGCCACTGCCCCTACGTTGATCTGCTCGCCTTGCAGCCTCTGGACTGGAGCAATGAACTGGAACAAACTTTGTTTATTACTTAATGTGCATTTGTCATTTGAAGGTTTGATAACTGTATGTGTTGTCTGAGTCAGGTCTGGACGAATTGGGTTCCGTGAGTCTGTGTGTTGATGTTGTACTGTCGTATTGGGAGCATCTCGTTGTGTCTTGTGAATTCCGTGAGTCTGTGTGTCTGTGTGTTGATGTTGTACATCGTAATTGAGTTCCGTGAGTCTTTGTGTCTGAGTGTTGATGTTGTACATCGTAATTTAACTGTATTTTACTATGGTCTTGTGAATTGCTATTGAACCATTTTAAATTCCGTATCATGGCTTGCTTAGATGGGTGTTGCTCTTCTGGTGGTGTGCACTGTACAGCAGCTCGATGGATGTGATTCCACCGATCTAGTGATTTCTGTAACGAGTTAGGAGCACATAAATCCTAGGTGTGGTCGAATTGATCTTGAGCTGTGACTGTGTCACCGTGTGCGCGCCTGGAGGTTCCTTGACATGACAGTGTTTGGTTGTGCCTGCATACCATAAGTATCCTACCATCATCTTCTGAATTCCTGAACCTTTTAAACTTTTGGGTCATTTACTTGTCTAGATTAGATATTGGTAGTGCTTTCCTGATGGTATGGATGCAGGTCAATCGATGTTTATTCCATGGGATCTATGGTGGCTCAGGGTGGAGTTTTCCTTTGCACTGGATTTTCAGTAGTTGAAGTCCATGAGGAAAGTGTAGATGAGCCAAGCCCTACCAATTTAAGTTGTGCCTTCCCGTTGGGCTTGTGATGGGCTGATGTGATCCTCCTCGTCCGTCCCTCAGTTTCCGTGGACTACCTGCCAACTACAACCATGGTTGTGCCTTTGACCGACTCATTTGGAATAAACATATTGAATTCTAGCTAAATTAATAAAAAAACATGGTGCGTCTTCCTTATCCGATCTCATCTTTTTAACCGGACATGTCCCTTTGCAAATGGCTTGTATAAGTGAGGCTAGCTGCATGGTTTGGGAACCATAAGAAAGTTATATGTTAGAGGTCTGTTTTGTGATAGTGCGTATGTTTATTTGGAAACATGTTTTTGGAGTTGACGTAACCAACTATTGAAGATATACTCTATCAGCTATCAACCAAATCAAGTCCAAAGTAATCTGACATCCTTTCTAGGAAAGATTGCTAGCTTCCTGGGAAAATACTTAGGTCTTCCCGTGCACACAAGGAAGCCAAGGAAAGTAGAAGTTCAGCCCCTGGTAGAAAATATCGGTAAACGCTTACCAGGATGGGAAGAGAAATTATGTCTAAAGCAGGAAGAGAAACACTCGTTAACACTATACTCACATCGCAACCAATTTACCATTTGACGGTTTTGCCTGCACAAAAATGGTTAATCAAGTGCATTGATCGCATAAGACGCAATTTCCTATGGAAGGGGGAAGAACCAGAAAAGGTTGGTGGCGGTCATTGCCCTGTGAGGTGGCCAGTCACTTGTTAATTTGCCAAAAAAAATAAGGGCGGCCTAGGTATTTCATATCTTGAAAAATTCGCTAGAGCACTTCAGCTAAGATGGATGTGGAGCCTCAACTTATTTCAGATGGAAGAATAAAGAAAGAGCTTGGACAGGGATGGAGATACCATGTGATATGACCGATAAGAACCTTAATTCATGAATCAACGGTGGTGACCATTGGCGAAGATGACATGACTGAATTTTGGGTAGAAAGAGAAGCAACAAGGAACATTGCACCACCTTTATACCAAAAAAAGAAGATAAAAGATTCTTGCCCAGGAGGCCTTACATGACCACAAATGGGCTAGGCACATCTCGCCTATCAACTCTCCAACAGAATTGAAGGAATTCGTAGAGCTATGAAAAGTGATTACAGATGTCAATAGAAATGTAGAGGAAGGGGACCAAATTCACTGGAGATGGACTCATAACAGAGAGCATAACAAATGAGCAGTGCCTACTAAATACAGTTTATAGGAGTGACCTGTAAACTAAATATTAATCCAATCTGGAAGGCATGGACAGAACCAAAATGTCATTTCTTTGCTTGGACACTACTTCACAACAAAATTCTAATGGATGATAATCTTCAGAAAAAGGGTTGGCCTAACAACCAGATATGTGGATTATGTAACATGCACCTAGAAAGTCCCAACACCTTTGCAAGCATTGTCCATATGCGGTACAAGTTTGGAACAAATTGGTTCAATGGGAGAATCTCTCATATCTTATGAACAACATTCGCCGTGGTGGGTGAGAGCTAAATTCGACAAGATCTAAAGGAAGCTGATTGATGGGCTAGTGATATATTATTGACGGAGTTTGTGTAATGAGAGAAATAGGATAACTTTTTAGAACTTGGCAAAGTAACAGGAGGAGGTGGCCTTCATGATAAAAGATGTGACTCAACACTCCTTAGCGATGTGAAGAACTCATGTTGGGTGGCTCTTTTAGTTGTTTTTGGGTTGTCATCGATCTTCTTCATGTATGTTTTTTATTGTTGGGCTTGTGCAGGCCCCTTTAGTTCTTTTTTCTTAGCTGTTTTTCTTATAAGGAAGTGCATACATAGTTTCCTTAGTGTTCATGGGACATGCAGGACATAAAGGATGCGTTTGGTTGGTGGGATGCATGAGAATGGGATGGAGCGTCTCTGTCCTTGGTGTTGTTTGGTTCAAGAACAGGAGGATGGAATGGTTCTCACGAGAGGAATATTCTTTAAGATTATAGGACGAGCTCTCTCCAAAAACATGACGGAACACGCTTTCGTCCCAAATGAGCACCGCTCACGCCATCTTCTCTACTGGGCGTCACGGACACCAAGGCAGTGGAGGCGGTGGCATGGACACGAGCAGGAGGAAGAAGCACATGTCTGTATGACTTGTGGGCCCCACATTTAATGGGTTAGCTGATCTGGTATCTCATCCATTCCATCCTTCCAACCAAACACCAAAATAGAACCGCTCCATCCTTCCAACCAAACACTAGAATGGAACCATCCTGTCCTAGATCAGGAGCAGAACCATTCCATTCTACCTCGCTCTCTAACCAAACACACACTAAGTCATTTGTCCATCTTCTGTTTTTCCCTGCCTACTAATATATACTTGCGGCAAATCTCTTGCTACCCTTTTGAAAAAATAAAACTTTGCCAATTGAAACTTTTTTTCCATTTAAGATCGTTTAGGACCCAAAATGTTCAATACAAGATTCGTACATGTTAATACAAAATGATAGCATCATATAGTCATAAATGATTACATGGTGTTGTGGTAGGAGGGGATGCCTGATGCAATAGGTTATGTGTTTGAATCCCGACCGATGCACGCATTTGTGCAAGATACATTGAAAATAAAACCTTCATGCACTTGTGCAAGATATACATAGAAAATCAAACCTTGTGCAATAGTACCATAGCTCTTGGTCACACGGAAACATTTTTTCTTTTTTATGTTTTTAAAAAAATCTCAAAATTATTTTTAGGAGCAATTGACATAACAAAATCATATCTAAAAATGCCTCCATTTCTATGATCGATGGCATGGGCAGTATCCATTTTAAAACTAGCCCTTAAAATCGATTTTTTTGTGCTAGTGAGGCTCTCAAGCTTTTGTCTCACCCCTTTCTTAGGCTGTAAGCTTGAATTATTATTATTTTTCTTCCAGGAAGTCGAAACTGAAACAGAGACGCAAACTCCGGGACGCAACTTCCTGCTACCTTCGCAGCATGCAGGTGTTTGGCGAGATAGGCAAAGGTGACGACGAGAAACAGTCGATCGGGCGCTATGCGTGAAATCTTGCTTGCTCATCGTGTACAGTGAGAACCGAATTTGTATCCTTGCTTGCTTGCTCACCGTGAAGCTTCCTTGCTTTGCTTGTGTGTGGAGAGACTTGGTTTCGCTTGGATTTATTCACCATTTTTTGGCAGTCAGTTACTAAAGTAGGACACTATCTTTTTCTAAAAAAGATATGGCGATATAAACGGTTTGTAGATATGAAAATGCGACACGGCGGCAAGGCAAACGTTTTACTGTGGTCAGTCGAAATTAAAGGGGAGTGGTAGTAACTTCAGGAAAATGAAAAATTGAAACCACAAAAAAATGCTGCTGAGCCGAGACATTCTCACTATTGGAAACAGAAATTGTCCTGTGGGTGTCAGATTTTTTCTGTCGGCATGCTAATTTTCCTGTCATTCTTTTTTGCATTGACAGGGAAATTCACGTTTCCACTTGTGTACATCTTATTCGAACACGGGATGTAACAAGAAGATGACATGTACAACCAGAAGCTTGGTAAATACGATAAGAAAATATATGTAACGCCTCTCAATACATTGTCATTGTCACCCTTCAAATTGTTGGTATTTCTACCATCAATCATGGTCGTCACGAGTACCATTGGGATGGGGCGGCATTCTTAATTCTATAATGATACAATCAGGAGTCTGTCCGTCCAGATGACTTCCCCCGCAGGGCGCAACCGAGATAGGATGCGGGGCGTGGGCACGGGCGCTGCGTCCGGACCCGGGCCTCCGTCCAGACATCCGCCTCGCCGTTCTGAATTAACACAAGAGGATCTAAAAAGTTTTTTTTTGGAGCAAACAAGACGATCTGACAAGTGGATCGCCACCTTAATTAGGCAGGGCGCAGTTTAGGTTTGGGCCTGCAAGGATAGTGGCATAAAATGGGCTTATTTTGTTGGGCTTTCCGCCTTTAACTATCAAATGGCTCGAACACGTAATAAGGCGACTGCGAGACTAGTTACCCATGCATTAGACTGAGCTAAGTTCCAGAAGAAAGTAAAAGACAGAAATGGCCCACGAACAACACCCGGCACACAAGAAAAAGACAAATAGTCACTGCTCTCGATTCCCAAATAGCAACATGTGACGGAAAAAAGGTGATAAGTTGAGAAAATTTCTCGCGTAATTAACGATTAGAAATTGAGTTGTACAGCTAGGATCATGAAGCATGTGCTTAAAAACCTTTTTAACCTGCACGAGATTGTGCAAAGTTTCATATGTATATTATCTTAGTATTTAATCAACAAAATAAACCCTCAAATTAATTTCCTAGGCTAAGAAATTACCTTGTTGATGAAATGATATCTATATCTATATCTATACCTAATAATAAAGAGGCAAAATTTCTGTTTTTTTTTTTATATTTGGTCTGGCTCTCCCTAACTAATCCAATCTTTCCGTATCTGCGAGTGCATATATAATGCGATCTGTAGAATATAATCCCAAGATAAATTGGAACACCTGATCTAATCATTGGATAAATATTCAAGTCTCCAATATCCATACGAGTTAGAGCAATGCACATCCAGCAACGGTAGCTAGGGGGCCTGATTCAACACGAATCATAGCACATGAGGTTTTTATTGAATAGATTTCTAAGAAGCCGAATCGAACAAGAACGACTAAACACAACAGAAGAGAAATGGGAAAAGAAAACACGCAACAAAAAAGGAACCAAGAGACTGAATACAACATAATGAGTTAGAGCAGGTGCATCCAGGCATCATATAGAGTTCGATTGAAAGACAAATGTAAACATATGATGCAATTTCAAACACTATTCAGAGTCCAATCTCAAGACAAATTGAAATGCACATACTATCATTGGATAAATGTCAAAGCATCATGTGCTCATATATACGACTTCGAGCAGCACACGTTTGTTGGATAAATTTTCGAGCTACAAAACTTAAACCTATTTTTTCGTCTACCTCCCCTAACTATAACTCCGCGAATGTGGAGGTTGTATCTCTATTAGTCTACAGCCCTCCTATTTTATATAACATGAGATAACCTACATAGTTAGGAATCCTAATTCTAATAGATATCTCCAACCATAAGTAACTTGAATAGGAATTCTAATCTATATCTATATGTACATATATCTATATCTCTATATCTATATCTATTCCTCTATATCTTAATATCAAAGTGCTAAAATTTTTGTCCTACTTTTTTGTCCGGCCTACTGCATGCGTCCTTTGTCTTGTTGTTCACGAGCTCCTCGAGGGATTGGAAGCTCACAGAAATAGTTCGAGAGAAGTGTGTCGATATCACATTAAAAGAGGCGCCATATTGCTCTTCTCTCATCCAAAAGCGGGTACAGTCTAGTCAACAGGATTAGAAGCTCACAAAAATAGTTCATGAAAATTCTCGGTAGCAAAAGCACACAAACATCTCAGTGGTCAAGGAAAAGTTCATCCAAGCTTCAACTGGATTTGGAATAGTCCCTGTCAAAACAAGCATAAAGTTTTTTTGCATCGGCCTATTAGAAGAATCATTGGGGCACCTCTTCATTCACTGCCTCTTTGCTTTAGCTTGCTGGGCCTGGTTACAAAATTTTTAAAAAAATCTAGAGAACTTCAGGAGACAATTAGACGTGCCTTTATTCAAGGAAATTATAATCTTAATGTGTTGGACCATTTGGAAAGCACATAATGGCCTCTTTGCCTTCACTCTTGAAGACCCAAAGAGAGTTTTCAAGTCAAAATTTGCGTTGTTCCTAGTACGCACTAAAAGAAGCATTTTTTTCTTTTATTAATTCATGGTTAAACAATATTGTTTAGGAAAAAGTCTACTCCAACCCCCCAACTATGGGGGTGGTCTACATAACCCCATCAACTATGAAACGGTCTGATTTACCCCCTGAACTTTTCAAAACCGTCTATTTTACCCCCAGGCGGTTTTCAGCGGCGGTTTTGCTACAGTGGCAGGGGTTTTGTCTTTTTTTTTTCTTATTTCCGCTGAATCTTTGAAAAATCATAGTAAATCACAGAAAAATCATAAAATGGAAAATCTAATTTTGTTGGACTCCACATGAGTAGATCTACACAGTGAACATATAATATGGTACACTTTAGCAAAACCGCCGCTGTAGACCACCCCCCATAGTTGGAGGGTGGAGTAGACTTTTTCCATATTGTTTAATATCCTTAGTCTGGCTTATTTTATTTTTATACCTTTTTTTTTGTTTCTTGAGCTCCTTTGCTCCCCCCGCTACTTTTGTTTGTAACAAAACTTTGTTATCTTTGGTTATATAAATTCCAGTAGAGGCCCGCGCCCCTCCTGTTTTTCTAAAAAGACCGGGTCCAGTATGTTGCCTTGGAAATAACATGCATATAAGAGTATATAGTGTCTTTTTTTAAAGGTCACATAGTTTATGATTTTTAAAATGCTAAGTAAACAAGAAAGTTACATTTATTCCCACACAAAGAGTTTAGCTTATAACTCTGGCAAGTATTTATTGAGTAGAGTTATTGTAAATGTACCCTCCTTGCTTGTAAGGAAGTATAGTAGTAATTACAAATATCTATGAATATTGTGAGGCGGAACTCATCATTCTCAATTCTCAATTATTATATTCCTGAGTGCAGGAAAGACAGCCAAATTAACATGAAACGGCTAATCGCCGGCCGGGAGGCCGGGGACGTTACACATCCTTTGCACTACTGCCATTTTTCCTTCTGCAGGCATCTCTGACCAGTCAAAGAGATTAAAGTTTAATTCAGAAAAAAAATGTGGTAAGTTCCCCATCCTTTTTATATATAGAAATAATAAAGGCTCGAGAGCACCCTCCAAAATCCCATTACGCCTCGCTCCCCTCCCCTCCAAAATCCTCCTCCACCCTGCTTTCTGCCATGGCTGAAACTGGTGGTTCTTCGACTACCATCCCGGACCCGGAGGAGAACATCGACGCCGTCTCCGCCGCAGGCAACGCTGCTGACAACAAAGAAACCCCCAAGGCGCGCCGGAATCGGATGCGGATGATCGCGGAGAGGAAGCGCCGTAGTCGGCTGAGGAATTACTTCGGCGAGCTGCAGGAGCTCGTGCCCCACGTCACTGACAAGGTAAGGCTCTCGATCAGATGACACGACGATGCGAATTGCAATTCTCTGATGTGATATCTAGCTAGAGCTTGGAAGAAGATGCAGTCACTCAGTCACTGGTGAATTAATGGTGATACTGTGATCTGATTTGTTGTTGTTCTGACGACGTACAGAGTGACAAGGGGACCTTAGTGGGACAGGCGATCGACTACATCCAGTCGCTAGAGAAGATGAAGGCCATGCTGGAGAAGCGCAAGCAGGAGCTGGCACTCGCGCGGCAGGTGGCCGCTGAACGGGCGGCCTCCTCCTCGTCGGCGCCACCGCAGACCGCCCAGGGGATGGCGGGAGCGGCCATGTTTTCATACGTCCCAGATGGCTGCCATGATGTGCCGGCGCCACCGCTGCAGCCACTTGCTGCGGCCGTGGCAATGTCTGCGGACGTCCCGCAGCCGCTGCCGCTGCAGCAGCCTCTTGCTGCAGCGGTGCCAGCGCCACCGCAGCTCCCCATGGCGGCCCCGGGGCAAGTCGGATTCCAGGTCATGGCCGAACCTTGTGCTCAGCGTGTCGAACGACAACGCGTACATCAACGTGTCCGTGCCGCGCCACCTCGGCATGGAGAAGATGGTGATGGTACTGTCCGTGCTGAACAACTACGGGATCGACGTGGTCACGGCGCAGTTCGATTCCGACGCTGCCCACTCTGTGCTCAACATCTATGCCCGTGTAAGTAGCTTCTAGTTGATGGAGCATCATATCCTCTTGGTTTCATGGTTGGGTTGTTGTAGTGGCTTGTTTGTTTTTTTGAAAGAACAGGAGGGGCAAGGAGCCCCTACTGGAGTAGTGGCTTGTTTGTATACAGGAATGGGAACTCGCACATGATTAACCAGTAACTATGACTTCGGGGGAACCGGTTAGTATTTTTATTGGATGTTTGGTTTGAGAAATGAAACCATTCTGGATGAGGTGGTGCATCACGAGTCCATTCCTGAAGGGTGTGTTTGGTTTGAGGAATGGGGTGGTCTATCTTTTTCTCACTCCTCACTTTTTTTATTTGGTTTGTGGAGTAGAATGAGTTGATCCATCGTCACCTTATTTCTCGCAAGCTAATAACTGTATATGCATAAGGACTGAGTTGATTTCATCAAAATTCATGGGATGAACTCATGATGCATCTACTCATGAAGCATATGGATGACTCCACAAACTAAACACACCATAAATTTACCTCATATCAGTATTGAACTGTTATTTAGCTTGTGATGAATAATAAGGTGATGATAGATCAAACTATTTCATTCCACAAATCAAATAAAAAAATATGGAGTGAGAAGACGATGGACCAACTCGTTCCTCAAACCAAACACCCTATTAGAGGATTGGGGAGAGCCCGGACTTCAGCAGGTGGCTCTCTCTCTGTTAACGAGGAGCCTGCTTGACCATTTACAAAGGTGACGCGCAAAATGGTTTGATCTAAATACTGACCAACCTAAATATGTAGCTAGACTATTGGACAAACATGGTTACTCTGCCTTTTGAATCTAGCTAAACTAATCAACAAATATGGTTACTCTTCCTTTTTCGATTTCTTGCTTTTAAATAGAGATTTTGGTTTGCAAAACGGCTTGCAGAAGCTGAGACTGCGTGATTTGGTAACCATAAGAAAACAGTATGTTACTAGAGGTCTATTTTATTTTCAATATGTATTTTTTTATAGAAACATGCTTTTGGAATTGACGTAACAAACTACTCAAGCCAATCACTAAGGTTAGACATACATATATGACCCAAGTTCCCATATCCTTCAAATCTCTTGACTACACTGTGGATTTGTAACTCTGTAGGAATTATTATGTGACTAACTCTATGATTAACTTCTTGATTCACATAAATGCTACTAGTTGGTCCGATTAATATAACTTTATTAATGGAGTCTAGCTAGTATTTCATCAAAAGCTTTGTTTTGCCATACTGATTTGATTAGTTCAGCAGTACACTATTTGAATAGTCACTCGGTAGTCAAGGCCACCTGTTACTTGAGTGATGTGTGTACCATCTTGCAGTTCCATGTTCCACCAAAGATGAATTTGCATTCTGAGCATGATATCTTTCACCCTAGCAGTAATACAACATGAATGCATAAACATGCATATATATATATGGGCGAACCCAGTCACAAACAATAATGCCCACTGTAGACATTTTGCCACACTCTATATATCAGAATTCATTGTTCGAAAAAAATATATCATAATTCAGGCACCAATATCTAATTCAATATATATCTTCGTTGAATCTGACAACAATGCATTACCTGACAAAGTATATTCATACTTTTGGATATATACATATATATCTCATGCAGAGAACTTGCTTATTTGCATGAGGTAAACTTTATGCCATCTAACTAACATTCACATCTTTTTACAAAATAGGTGACTAGAATGGGCGGAGAGAATCCTTCACCAGAGGAAGTGTACAAGCCAGCTATGTCGGAGATCCTGCTATCGCTCAACACCAACTAGGTCGGATGCACCATCAAGGCCTCAAGGGCGTCTCAAGCAGCGCCACTGCCCGTACATTATTTATCTGCTCTGGACTGGAGCGATCGATCAGAACAAATAAACTTGTTTACTTAATTTGCATTTTTCATTTGAATAGCGTTTGGCCGTGTTGTAGTTCTATCAATTGTTGAACCATCTAATTTTCTGGATCATTTGTTTGTCAAGATTGGATTGGTACTGCTGTCCTGATTAGTTTAGCATGGAATTTCCTTTGCGCCGGGTTTTCAGTAGAAGCCCATGAGGAAACTGCAGATGGACGAAGGCCTACCGATTTATGTAGTGAGTTCCTGTTGGATTGTCCAGCAGGAAAAAAATGAAGGGCCGCTCCAAGTCCAATACTGTTAAATGATTCGAGCTTGTGATTGGTCTGATGTGGTCCTCCTTGACCATCCCTCAGTCCCTTAGCCCAGCTGCCAACTACGACCATGGCTATCCCCTGGATCGGCTCATTGTGAGGGCCACTTTCATAAATTGTAAGTTGCACTAGTAGAGAACAGATCTTTCATCCGATGCTAAAATGGGCTCTAGTCCCGGCATTTTTTGCGCCCGGGACTAGAGAGACCTTTAGTCTCGGTTGGTGTCTCCAACCGGGACTAAAGGTTCCTGCCCAACGGCTACTGCGCTTGGCACAGTGGCAGAGGACCTTTAGTCCCGGTTGGAGACACCAACCGGGACTAAAAGTCCTCAACCTTTAGTCCCTGTTGGTAACACCAACCGGGACTAAAAGTAGACCCTTTAGTCCCGGTTGGTAACACCAACCGGGACTAAAGGTCCCCCGATGGGTTAGTTCAAAAGGGAAGCATCCCATCCATTGTTAGATGTGTTGTGTAGGTGGAATGGTAAGCTACGCGCGAGGCAATGCATGGGGTCTTGGGTTCGAATCTCACGGGACGCAGCGGTGGGAGGCATTTTTTTAAAGCTAGGAGGACCTTTAGTCCCGGTTGGTGTTACCCACCGGGACTGACCTTTAGTCCCGGTTCCTGACCCGGGACTAAAGGACCCCCTTTAGTCCCGGATGCTTACTCCCGGGTGGGGAACCGGGACTAGAGGGGGTTCCCCACCGAGAGTAAAGCTCTGTTCTCTACCAGTGTTGAGGTTCGTAAAGAAATAGTGTTTGTCACCTATCATATTGAATCTAGCTAAATTAATTGAAAAATATGGTGTTTGTTCCTTATCTGATCGCATCCTTTTAACTGGAGATGTCCTTTTGTAAATGGCTTGGATAAGTCGAGGCTAGCTGTGGTTTGAGAATTGTATGATAATTGTATGTTTGAGGTCCATTTTGTGATCGTGTGTGTGCATATATGGCGAAACATGCTTTGTGCCTTGAAAAAAAGAATGCATCTATATAATTTCTGCTACATGAATTTGAAAAGGACATGTACTGTTGAATTAGGGGTATGGGCATGCACATCAAGAAGCCTACAGAATGGGATCAAAATATCGACAACCTTAGCTAATAAACTAATAGACTAATATAGTTACTCTGCCTTATTTCTATTGGTTCTCTAAACGATATACATCAGTTGAGGCTGTATGATTCATAGTAGTTAGATCTTTATTTTGTCGCACTTTAGTGGAAAAAGGTTATCCAAATAAGGACACAATCTACATAAGTTGAGACTGCATAGTTGTAGCTAGTAATAATAACCATATGAATAATGTACAGAAATAGTGCATTAAACCTTTATGTTGTTGTACTTGAATGGGAAGAGGTGATCAAGATACCAATCATACTAAATCTAACCAAACTAATCAATAGAGACACGGTTGTTATTCTTCCTTTTCTGTTCTCATCCTTTTAGCGAGAGATGTTGATCTGCAAACGGCTTGCAAAAGTTGAGGTTACGTGCACATGGCTTGGTAATTGTAAGGAAATAGTACCCTAGAAGTCCATTTTGTGATAGTGTATATATGTTGGGCCTTGCTAAGGTACATCATTTACCTCATAGGAGGTAAGATTTCAAATAAATCTTAGCCCTTCATTTTAAATGTGCTTGCAATAACTAAGTAATTACTAATTAATTAAAATGTCTACAAAACAAAACAAAAAAGGAAAGGCAACAAACTAAACAAATATATACAAGATATCTACGTACTATCCAAGAATAGCTTCTTGTTGCCGTAAAACTAATTGAGTACACCCGTAACATGCTGCTGCATGCCGGTGTAGCACGTACGCTAAGGGTGCGTAGCACCTGTGCTAGACCTGATTCAAGAAATTCACGTTCAAGACCCGTGACTAGCACGCAAAATAATTAAATAGTTTAAATACCAACACGTTCAAGTCTAACGTTCCTTACAAACATGTTTATGTTTCAATTTAAATAAAGTAACTAAAATAGAAAAAAAGAAAAAAATACTTATGGAAAAAACATTCAAGAAAAGATACAACTCAAGTTTAGCATCATGGGATAAATTACAACTGCACATAGATCAATTAATTAAGAAAAATGTTACATGTTATGTTGGGAACCACCAATATAGATCAATTAATTTAAAAAAACGTTGCATGTTATGTTGAGAACCATCCATACGTGTTTGTATTTTGTATACATGCTAGATCTAATTTATAGATATATATTACCTAAAAATTAGCTTTACCTTCCTATTTCTCCAAATAAAACAAATATATTTCTCCTATTACCTCTCAGGAGGTAATATGTGATTATACCAATCCAGATCGACGGCCGTCCACAGTTATTTGGAGGTACCGTAGCAAAGCCCATATATGTTTATGGAAAACCTGCATTTGGATATGATGTAACAAACTACTTAAGCCTACCACTAAGGTTAGAAAAAAATACCTAGTGTTTATTAGAGGTGTAGTTTTTCGCAATGTGTATTTTTTTGGACAACATCCTTTTAGAGCTGATGTAACGAAGTGCCCAATCTACCACTAAGGTCAATCTGATCTGAATGAATAACAGGTGTACTCAGGTTATTGATAACATGCTAATCACTCAATTAAAATCATCTCAGGATAGAACTTACCATCTAAATATATAATATCTCAAATCCTAAACAGCTATTGATAATCTAGATTATGTTTAATTAACAGTAAATGAGAGTAGGATGGTTTTGAAGTTTGATTATAAGCGGTGGGAGAAGTGGTGTGCAGAGCAGGTTTTTTTTTTTTTTTGCTGCTCCTCCATTCTAGTACAAATTGTAAAGAGTTTTGCTCATGCTCCACCTGTGGAGGAGGTGGTTCTTTTGCCCATTTGGCTCAGCTCCTCTAGAAAATAAAGCAGGAGTAGGTTGAGGAGTTCAACCAAAAGGACCCAAAATAAGCAAAAAAATGCATGAAGGGTTGAAATTGAAAGGTTAAGTTATGCCTATCTACTCCATTCAGTGCTTAAACAATTCGAAAAAACACCATCTAAATAGTACACAATGTACAGTATTGCCTTTTTTGTACAACCATTTAGCCTTAGTTGACGAAACAATGGGTGGCCGACTATTTAGCATTTATGTGAACACTATTTATGGAAGGAATGGGTGTACTCCAATGTGTTATTGCATTTTTATTATTTGGTATAGTGCTTTGTTGAAAAACGAAGATTTTAAAGAGTTGATAACTTTTGTTGCCAATTTGAATTTGTTTCACAAAATAATTTATTGTTTTGACTCTGTTTCTCCTCGGATCTTGTTTGTTCTTTTTTCATAATACCTCTCTAAACATGTCTTACACATCTTAGTATAAATGTAGTCCTATTGATTAAGTTGTCATTACAATCAGCAAAAACCATAATAGAATATGACATTGAGCACATATTCCTTAAACAGTCTCAAGGACCACTTCATCTTAGGAGCCGATTGATGTGTACCACAAATTCCTTCTTGAATCTCTTCCATGGAAACATAGGCTTGATCTGAATCCAAACACTTCAAAAGAGAATCGTCTTTAGCGTTTCAACTGTGTACAAGTCACCATCAGTTAAAATATAATTAAATGCTAATCGCCGAACCATTCTATCCACTTCACAGCTAGGATTCTGTAAACAGAGTAATAATATGTCTCCTCTAGATACAATAACTTGAGTCTCACCATGGTTTTGGGACATAATGGCCGAGTTAGCACTCTTAACAGGCATACTGGCCAAGCTAGTTTCAGAAACTGGACAAGCCAATTTTGGCATGTGAGCTAGAAAACTAGCTAATTCGGTCTTTAGAGTGAAGCATAGTATAGATTTTGGCCATGCTGGTTTTCACAAATCAGGACAAGCTAGTTTTATTCTAGAACATCCATATCAACAAGCTTTAGCATCAGCTCTTCAATAATATAAACATGTATCTTCTGAGCATTATAGCCAGATTTTTTTGTGATAATATATGTGCTCGAAAATTCCCTGGCCCAGAGGTATAGGATATATAGCAAATTCATCAAAGTAAGATAAAACATCTAGGTACTTGTCAAGGTAATCATTCAGTGACCCATCTAGACAACGAATGGTCTTTGACACTTTCGGTGGTGCTAATAATGAGTCACCAAAAGCTTCTACATGTTTAAATCCTTGAATTTCAAAAATTTTAATAAGCCTAATGTATGAGCTTTATATGTAGCTTGATTGTTAATTCAAAAGTACTCTGATCAGCTAGAGGTCTAAAAAACATCATTATTGGGTAAAATAAACATAGCACCAATGCATTGACATTCATTGCAAAATGACCAACAAAATACAACTTACATTGAGTACAAGTAACATATCTGGCTTCTAAACCATGCTCATTATCACTCCAATGTTCAAAAATAAATTCTGCTACAATTTGGCATTTCAAATATTCAAATGCCAATCATATTCAATAAGTGCATATGCCTCCTTGTTAATTCTTACCACTGAAAATAGGACCAGCAACATATGTACAATAACATTGGCTTGACACATGCTACTATGCCAGTATTAGATATTAAATAATGACTCAACTTAGTAGAAGCATAATATAGCGGTAAGCATAATTTC